TGAAGCAATGTAATGCTGTGATTTATGGGAGTGGGAATATGTGAATATTGCTAGGCTAATAGCAGTGCAGTGCCTAGTTTCTTTTGTCAACCACAAAAATTCTTTAAAAGACTGTTTTACCCTTCATATCAGTGCTCAATATTGAGGGAGTTCAAAGCCAGCTATTCTTTTATCCTTGAAGCAAAGACAAGAGTAAAATCTTGTTTTGGATATCAACCTTACTGATTTTGTCCATCCTTTCTGTTGAATGACTTATTCTCTATTATCTCCTTGACAACCACTTGTACTTTTTATCTGCAACAGGCTTAGAGCATCTCTGAGTGCTGAGGAACATGAATTTTGAGGTGCAGGGCTGCTTCCTCTTGGTTCCACAGAGAGAAGGGGTTTGCACAGGATTTATCTTTGGGCTCCTAGACAGCCCTGAGTAAGGAACTTCTTGTTTCATCTCACTCTACACGTTGTTTCTGCCTGCAGCATTGATGTAAGGTTGCTACTCAGCCATTGCCACATTTAATGCATCCTTCAAGATGATACAGCCAAATGTCTTTTCTCTTATGCACATAACAATATTCCTAGATCAACTTTATACTTCTCCTTGGTGGATACACATCAGAAAGAGCAAATACCTCTTCATCAGCATGACCACATCTGCAGGAGGGGAGTTTTAAAGGGAGGCTGTAGTCAAAGCTGCTGCAAACCAAAGCACAACTCATTGCCAGTTTAGATACAAAGGTGAAGTTATTGACAGAAGTTTCAAAGCTACTGAGTTGGGAACTGTTCAACCTCTATTCAGCCCCACATCATTCCATGGTGTACACAACAGGGCTTATAAATTAGGTGCCCTGGCCACTGCTGTGCAGTATCAGTTACAAAAATCATTGCAGCTTTGTTAATTGGTCACTGCTGCTACCATGGAATTGTTGCAGTACTTTGGATTACTTGGGATTATTTTGGGAGAAGTTTTAATGGCATCACTTTCTTACTATATCATCTCATTACTCAGTAACAAGTCATCATAATAACAATACATGGGTTTTGCTGAATATGATACTCCTCCCTTACTTCTTACTGAGTTACCCTCTTCCTCATCCTATAAATTTTGATGTGTTTGGGATTTTATCCACCTTTATATATTTGGTTTGCCCTGCTAATGTTCATGTCTTCACCTACACAGTTAACCTGTCCTGGCTTCAGGTAGGAGGTGTTACACAATGTGGGTGGAAGGAGAGCCACAGCTCTGATATATCAGTTCCTGACTGTTGGGTGCAGCTTCTGCTTTTGAAATTCCCTTCTGGGAAAGTTGAGATTGTTTTAGGGGCAATCTCCTTTGTGATATTGTTTCCACATTTGCTGCCCTATCTCTGGATTTTAACATCTCCATTTTACTCTTTTGTCAAACTGCTTTGAAATCTGCTGGTTGCTCTTACCAGAAGCACTCAGATTTAGGCTGGTAGTGGATTTGACAGTGAAATCAACTGACAGAAGCCTGTAAGACTTTTCAGTCTCACTAAATGACTGGAGATCAATTTAGAGAAGGCAAAAGAATATTTTGACCAAAGTTTTACCAATATGTAGGGATCATCTGAACATTAAGTGAGCAAACAGGAATGGTAGGGAAAGTCATGCTATGAGAGGCCTTCAGCAGCATTTTATACAAATGAACATAGATATTTCTAAAAGGAAGGCAATGGGTCTTGGTTCCCAGAGAGGCATGGAAAAACTGCCTTAAACCCCCTTGTGGAAAGAAGAGAGTTAAGATTGCTGTTGTGTGTAGTATTTCAAATCATGAAATCATTAATGAAATTCATCCCAAATTCTCTACTGGTATCTTTAACAGATGCCTAGTTGCATTTAATACTTTGGGGAGGAAGGACAGGTATACTGAAGAAAGAAGTCTGATGCCCGAGAACTCATTCATTCCTGTTGTAGAAAAAAAGAAATTATTTCCTTTCAGAAGACTTGATCTATGCAGTAACATGGTCACACATTTATTTTGTCACTTGGATTAAGTTTCTACAACAGGGCTATGTTCATAAGGATGTAAGTTCCTGGCAGTTTTCCAGTTATCAATACTAAAATATTAGTGATCAAGCATTTACTGAACGCCATTCCTCAAATGCAGGGGCTTCACAGCATCTTGTTGCATTCATGGAATTCATTTGTTTGCATTATCTGGCTAACTGGTTCTTTTGTATTGCCAAGGTGATGAACAGATTTGACATTTAGCTGATTACTTCACCAAAATTAAACAGAAAACAGGGCAGCCATCCAAAGTTCCTTTCAGTGTGAAACCTAATTATAAAAATGCTTTGAGCAGCAATTTCTTTTTGGATGTTAAAGTGCTTTTATTAGATTGTTCCCCTGTCATTTTAAAATTTATTGCTAGACACTTATAAATGGGGTTGCCTGCTGAAGTAGAATTATTTTATTTTCTATATTTAAGATGGGAGGAAAAAGTGTATGGAGAAAATTTTAGGCTGAATTTGCTAATATTTTACATGTTTCTGAAAAGGAAGAAGAATAACTAATGCTGGCTTTCATAGACTCAAAATATGTAATTTATCTCTGTGTTGAATAAAATTTTATCTATATGCTTTTTTTATTCACAATTCAGCAACTCCCAATTTCCAAAAACTATTACTTAACAAATAATGAAATCAAAGACGTGATTTAAAATTTGAGTACAGCAGTAGAAGCTTGTATCATTAATGTAGATTTACACAATTACTGGTGATAGAAAAGTCTAACCATGTACTTGTACCTGTCTTTCATAAGCCATTACCTGTTCTCAAACAGCATAAAAGCACTCTTAAGTCATTTATCAAGGTCATTGAATATAAGTAGGACAAGTGAATTTTAACCAGTAAATTTAGAGCTGAAGACTGAAGTGGATCTTAGAACTTTCTTGTCAAGTATTTTTGGAATGTCTTGGAATATGTTTAGCTTTTTATACTGCCTGTTGTTATTAACATCCTTTGGACCCCAGACAAGGTGTGATCTGGGGAGATTTCAAGGTGACAAAATAGTGGGGTTTTGCATATCATATTGTCTAGCACACTTTGGGTACTAAATCATCTTGTGAGGGCATAGATTAGTTCTTGACACTGAGATCTATTAATATACCTTGAAGCCTAGTGAATTATGTGACTCTGCTGTTTCAAGCTGTAGAATTCTGCCATAACTAGGAGGAAATATTTTGCTGTAGGTAGATTAATGTTGAAAGCTTGTCAAGAAAAAGTTTAGCATTGTAAATTTATTCTTTCTCTTTTTTGCCAGTGCTAGAGCTTCTACAATAAATACCATTTGTGATGTGGGGGAAAATAGAGATATAATTTCTTTTCTATTTATCTGTGTTATTAGAGTTTCAATGATATAGTCTATTTCCGATTAAAAACTCCATCCCAGTGAATAATCTTACAGAGGGTAATTTTTATTCCTATCTACCAGAGTTTTTCTCATAAAATACAGTAACTGTCAGTGCTTATCAAATAATTTATTTAATGCCCGTTGCAGGATAAGTAAGTAAGATAACAAAACATTCTGCATTAATAAATTAAAAAAGGAGAATAAGAGATTTGGCAAATACCCTTTTTGAAGATAATGGATAGGACTTAACATTTAACATGGATGTTGTGAGGAAGCTTTGAGTTGACAGAGAATGTAGTCTGGGCAACAGAGCTAAGAGTGGGTGTACAACACAAATGTGTGTGGGTTTGTTTTTTGTTTGACTGTTGAAGTATATTTCAGTACTAAGCCTTCTGAACTCCTCCTTGTATCTCCGAAATGTCCAGAGCTGGGGGTGCTTGGCCTGGAGAAAAGGAGGCTCAGGGGAGACCTCATCACTCTCTGCAAGTCAGTGAAAGGAGGGTGGAGCAGGATGGGAGTCAGCCTCTTCTCCCAGGCAGCCAGTGACAGGACAAGAAATGGCCTCAAGCTGCACCAGGGAAGGATCAGGCTGGACATCAGGAAAATTCCTATGTGAAAAGGGTTGTCAAGCTTTGGAATATACTGCCCAAGGGAGGTGGTACAGCCACCATGACTGAAACAGCACTGAGTGCCATGTCTGCTTGACAAGGTGGTCAGTCGTAGGCTGGACTCGGTGATCTTGGGGGTCTTTTACATCCTAAATAATCCTATGGTCTAACTACTTGCTTGTCAATGTGATAAGTTATTCAGGGCTATGTAAAATGGGGAGAAACACATTGCTATTAATTTGAAAGTTCACACATTATGCCCCTGTGCACAGAGAACACTCCCTTGCTGTGTTTTGTTGCTAACAATGATCCCAATGGATGTGCCCTGTTGCTGTCTTTTGTTGTGCCAGTGGGTCTCCTATAATATAAATAAATATGTGTGTACACGATCTGTCTGCCTGAACTGTGTAAGAACACTTCAAACACTCTAAAACCATAAACTTAAGTCAGTTCTCATTTTTCTGTTTCCCTCTGAAGTAAGCAAGGGATGTGTGGACCTGGCTTTAATATAAGTACTGCGCAAGCTCATCAGGAGCAGCTTGGCAAGGGTTATCTTAACAGTATTCTTTTTGATCCTGTGCTGGCTTTGTGACAATTTCAGGCAAAAGTGGCAAAAAAAATTTGTCTGTTTAGACCTTAGTGCACATTGAGGTTTGAGTCTTGTCGTAGAGCTCAAATGAGGCATAGTAACAATTAACATTTGCTTATCAGAGCTTATTTTTGGACTTATATTTAACTTTAGATGTCAGTCAGAGAAGACTTCGTTGGGCCAAAATTGATTTCACAGAAATGTTAAGGGAGAAGGAACTGCAAGACTTTTGGCAGGACAACAAACTCATATTATGAACTCATTTGTAGTTGCTAAACTGAAATTTCCTGTGACACAAAGGCCACCAAGTTGAAGTTATTTTTGAAAATAAATTGAGTAGTTTAGTCACTGCCAAGAAAAGCCAAATAGAACAGCATCTTTAGTTGCAAAAGTGCTTCCTACAATATTTCTAACTTCTACCTATTGTTTCTCCATAGGTGGATGGGATACTGTGCCTGGCTGACATCCTCACTGATACCAGCCATTCTGAAGCCACTCATGCAGAAGCAGCAGCAGTAATTGCCCAGATCACATCTCCACACCTCACGTTCACTCAGCATCTCAGCAGCTTTCTGGAAAATATGGAAGAAATCGTGACAGCACTTGTCAGTAAGTTTTCTACAGGACTTCTGAGTCCAGTTAAAATAACAGGTTAGGGTATGACTCTTTCATTAGAAATATTCCCTAAATAATATTTACCTTAAATAATAATAATCCTTAAATAATCCTTCCCTTAACAAATAAAATAACACTTTTAAATTCTGAACCAGAGAATTCTGCAATTACATAATATTTTTTACTCCAGGTCCCATGTGAATAGAATTTATTAATATTTGTAAAAATAATGTCTGTGTAAAAGTCTATCTTAAGAGTATCCAGGGAGGACTCAGCAAAGCATCCTCTTGTCTGATTTTTGTCTGTAAAAGAGGAATATTGAGAGCTGCTAACCTTTATGCCTGTTGTACTTTCCAAACGTGCTAGGACTCAAGCTCACCACTACATCTGAATTTGTATGATTATTTAGAGGAAAAGTAGAGTGTCCTGTAATCTATGGGTATTGTAGCAAGAAAATGAAAGATCTGTCTTTCTTGTATAGGCCCGTGATCCGTGGTAAAGTGAGACAAAGGTAACAGCAAGACTTTCCTTAAGCTGGGTCAATGAGGATACTTTAGAAAAACAAGATGACATTTCTCATTTCTTTCTAAAGAGAGGAATATCTTATTTCTGGCACTGTGCTCCTCCTCTCTCAGATACTAGAAGCTTTCATTCAAGCATTCTCCTCTCTCTAGTCTAGAAATTCAATTTCCCAGAGTTCCAAGTCAGAATGTACTGTTTGGGGTTTCTAGTTTGATTTCTCATGTATAATTTATCAGTACATTTGGAATTTCTTCTAGTGAACCCAGTGGTTACAGTTAAACTGCAGAACTTCAATTTAAATACAGGGTTTTGTTTTTTGGTTTTTTTTTTGGTTGGTTGGTTTTTTGTTAGTTTGTTTGCTTGTTTGTTTTTTAAATTAGAAAAAAAGAGCATTATGAGTGCTTTGAGGATTCTGCTGTGGCTGGGAATTATCAGAGATGTATTTAGGCATTCTTCAATAGGTCCAAACAGAACTAGTGATGCAGAAATCAAGGGAATAATTTATTTCTGATGTCCAGCAAGCAACAAATGGAGAAGCTTGTGCCCCAACACTGCCCGGAATCCAGTGGGTAGAATTAGCCTGTGCTGAGCTTGGTTCTGTTGTAGCTTGCAGCATCTGAGCTGATTTGTTTCAGCTGATTTTCTAGGTTATTTTGGTGTACTGCAGTCAAGGGCCAATCTGAAAAGCCTATCCAGAATGTATTAGCTGGTGGATCATTCCTCAGTTGTTGCTCTTTAAGTTCCACAGGCATTTTAGCTGTACATATTCTGCCCAAGAAATGTAAGTGTTAAAAATAAAACATGTATAACTTTGCAAGAGTCGTTTTGGTAATCACACACCACTTTTCTTCTAATATTTATAACTCAGTAATTGAATTACTGTAATATGTTTAATTTTTAAACCATGCAGAAATCCTATTACCAGGTGATTCACATCTTAGTTAAAGTCCCTATGTACAAGGGATTAAAAGGTAGCTGTCTCTTCAGCACTTCTTATTGAAGTTGAAAAATATGCAGGATGGTTTTCAGCTACAGAGAATTAGATTTAGAGACAAGCAACATGTACCTTGTTCTAAAGAAGAGGATGGAATAATTCTCATATGGATCATTTACTTCTAGCTTTCTGCTTCCTGTATTTGATTTTATTTAGTTATATCAAGCTTTATTTTGAACAACCTGCAGTGAATTACTCCCAGTAGACTGCTATACTAGGTAGAGCATATGGTTCATCAGGGATTATAGTGAGGTGTGTGTTGGTCTCTTCCAAGTAACAGGTGATAGAACAAGAGTAAATGGCCTCAAGTTGTGCCAGGGGAATTTTACATTGGATATTAGGAAAAAATTACTTCATGGAAAGGGTTGTTAAGTGCTGGAACACTCTGCCCAGGGAAGTGGTTGAGTCGCCATCCCTGGAGGAATTTAGAAGCTGTGTGGATGTGGCACTTGGGTACATAGTTTAGTGGTGGACTTGGCAGTGCTGGGTTTGGTTGGACCTGATGATCTTAGGAGTCTTTTCCACCCTAAACCCCTCTATGATGTTACATAACTGACAAAATTAATTTTATATTTTTTGTTTCCTTTTTTTAACTCCACATTTATCGACTTCATACTGGCTAATAAGATCACTGTTGCAAGCTGCAGATGCTTAAATATTTCCTTTAACAGCTGCATTGAAGGAATGACTTTTATTTTCTGCATTCCTAGAACTGTGCCAAGAAGCCTCATCAGGTGAAGTTTTCCTGCTGGCTTCAGCTGCTCTTGCCAATATTACTTTCTTTGATACCATGGCTTGTGAAATATTGCTCCAGTTAAATGCAATGAAGATTCTCCTAGCAGCGTGCTCAGACAAACGCATAGTGGATACTCCGTTCTCCCGGGATCAGGTGAGGAATTTCTCTGCAAGCCAATGTCACATTTGTGTGACATTGCCAAAAGATTCCATCACTGTGTCTGTTTTGACATAGCCAATCCTTTCTTGGTTCTTTTCATTATATTGCCTCTTTCTTTATCTGCTTCAGTTCCTTCTTTGGTTTTGGTTGTTTTTTAATTTTATTTTATTATAAAATATGACAGCTTTAACATGATTAAAAAAAAAAAGTTGAAGCTCCATATCTCTAGGATAGTAGCATTTATTGGTTTTTATCATTAATTAGGCCAAATAGTGACTTAGAAATCCAGATAGGTTATGGGATCTCTGTCTTTAGAGGGATTCAAAACTTACTGGACAGGGCTTTGAGCTAAAGATATATATGGAGCCTAAATATACACTTGTCAGTTCAAAGATGAATTAGCTCCAAAAGCTGAATAAGGACCTGATCCCCAGCCCATTGACGTCGGTGGGCTTTGCACCAAGTCCTGTCTGCCTGGTAGATGGTTTCCAAATTTTTATTGGCAAATACTGCTAATGTACTTTTGCCTTTCCCTTTCCTTCTCTCTAATATTTTAAAATTTGTTTTTGTGACGGGACACAGAATACTAAAGGTCTGTGATAATGCACAGATGAAATCAGGGAGAATTCTTTTGCTCCTCTCAGGCACTCCAATGCAATGGGATGGTGCAGAGGCGCTGCTTATTTGGCATCTCAGTGATTAATTTTGCCTCAGTGCCGATGTGTATGAGGTTTGAGGGTTCAGTAGTGGCTGCTGAGGGATGGAGGCTGGTACTCAGCTCCCTTAACCTACTTCTGTTCATGAGACCTTGTGACTGCAATTAAAAGTCCACCATTCAAACCTCACAACCTTCCCTTTCACAGCTCTGAAGTAGCCAAAAGATGACTTATGGTAAATTTAGGATCTGTACTGCCACAGAAGGCTTTGCTCATCCTTAACCAGCAGCCAGACCTTGGAAATTATGGCACAGTGGACCCTAAAAACTGATTATTGGTGTTCTAGAGGGATTACTAGGGCTGCTTTAGCTTCTATTAATAGCGCTTCGTAGTTTTTCAGCTCAGATCTGTGTATAAAAAGATAGAATTGAACTATAATTGCTGTAGTGCTCTTTGGGCAAAGTCAGAGGTATCAGGTGTGGTGTTGTCATGGCTGTGTACTATTACATATGTACAATCCTTCACAGTATTTTTTTTTTTTTTATATTCCTCCTGTATGCTCTCATAGCAAAATTTTTATTTCTTTATGCCCTCATCTGAATTCTGCTGTCAGCTGTGAGTTTGCTGTTTGCTCTGGGGATAGCACAGCAAGCCTCTTCTTTTTCTGAGGAAGGTAGATCTTGAAAGGAATATGCATGACTTTTTATAAGTGACAGGCTTGTTCCAGGCCTTTTGCAGCTTGCAAGCTGCAAGTTCATCTCACTAGATGGATGAACAGCAAACTGAGTGGCTTCCTTCCAAGAACTGAGGAGATTTCATCCCCCAGAACACCTCACTTTCCTTCTCAGAATGAGAAACTAGAGCAGCAAGGGTGATGTTACCTGTGGTGTGCTGCAGGAGGCTTCTGAGCCGATTCCTTGGCTCCTGCAGCAATGGGAACTATCAAATCCTACCTTGGGTTTTTACTGAGCACTGGATGTCCAGGTGGAATCTGACTGCTGCTCATCTTGTCTTTAAGAGCTACCAGTCAAGCAGTTTTGGTGATGCAAAATCTTTGAGAGAAGTCTTCCTTCAAATTCCTGAACAAGTGTGCGTTTGATTGATTAGCTCCCCTTGTTTCAGTCTTGTATTTGGGGGTGGGGATGGTGTCTGCCTATTGCAGCAGTCTCATGGAATATTTTGCCTTTTAATTTGCTCTGTGCCTATTGGAAAATACACTCAACTGAAAAGAA